TCAAGAGCTTTGAGATGTTGGGGTAGATTGAGTAATTCCATTTTTTAAAATAACTTGTTTAAAATGAGCACAGAAGTCATGTGACGCTAGGTTTAAGCTGTTCGTACCAAATTTAATTATTTAATAAATGTTGTGGGCTGTTGAAATTTAATGATGGCCAAAAATAGTGGTTTAAGAGAGGGTTGGGACTCGATGCGCATATGAAATAAATAGACTTGGCACACCACACCAATGTTACAAACAACGAACATATTGAACCTACTTTATTTTAAATGGCTCCCCCGCCTCAATCATTGTTAAAAAAATATTATGGCTTTGAAACAATCGAGCAATTTTTCAGCCCAATTGGCTTTGAAAATAATCTATATCTTTAAAATATTCCATATTTATAGAACTTAAATTGCTGGGACAAAAAGTTTCTTTATGTTTGTTTGTTTAAATAAACAACAATTCTATTTAAATCTTTATTTTATAACTAAATCAAATTTATTACAATTTTGTTGTGGCATGATTTCATGTTAAATCCTTTGATGAATTGAACAACATCTAGATGTTATCTCAACAACTAGATGTTATCTCAGCAACAAACATAGTAGATTCATCATCTGTTGGCTTCCCTCACTTCTCTACTGCTTTTTGCATATTTAATGCTTTAAATCTTTAATGCTCAAACTAGCTCAGCTGGTACACAAAAAGGCACATCTAATAATATAGATATAGGTTTTAAAAATGTTTAATATACACCTGGCATTACAGTAATTTTTGTAGGATTTTGATTTGTGCTACAACATCCCAAAAGTTTGAGAAGCCCTGCCTTAAATATACAACAAATGGAGCCAGGTGAAACTTAACGCCGCCGAAGCTAGGACTAATAAAGCTTATTTGACAATAGTGAAATTCAAACTGAGGCTGAATAGAGGGTGATGAGATTTTGCAGTGGAAGCATTATGCAATCCTATTTTGGCGTATCATGAAGCATACACGTCACTGGACAATTAAAATAATAAATAACTCGTAAACAAACCACAAAGAAATATTTTAACATTGGTGTCTTCTTTTTTCTTTTTTTTTTTTGCGATTAACATCTCAAGCATTCTTTACATATTTTTTTTTTAAATATATAAAATGCAGGCTTCAAAATTAGAGAAAGGGGGTAAATGTTGAGTTTTGTTCATTCTAAAATTTAAAAAAAATTTTTTTGTCTAATTTATTTTTCTTCCTTATTTGGGTAGGCCCAGCTCTTGGGATCTAGTCAAATTATTAGTAGCGTGTGCAGCTGCTGCAGTTTAACACCCAAAAAATTGTGATCTGATGGGTTGATCTCCTATTTTTTGAAACTGCATTATCTCCTATTTGCTTATCAACAGCCCCGTAACTGGTTAGTGCTGATTTCATTTCGGTAACCCAACTTTACGCTTATAATTGAATGAAAGAGTAAATTAGTATCTGCTTCTGGTGTGTCGTCTGTTTGTGTCAAGAGATACGGAGTCTTTTTGTGTGGAGGAGGTTAAAAAAACAACCCAAGTAATAACAAGCAACCCAAGTAACAACTCCCACACCTGCAAATATTTAAAATGAATAAAATTTTCCAATTCTTTGTCTGTCAGCTTGAGAACAGGCATTAAGTTTGCCTGCGCCATGTTAGCATTTCCAAAATGCAGTACCAAATAGAACTGAAATGTGTTGGTTATATTACACTGTGGATGGAACTTGTTCCTTTATAAAACATTGCAACATTTCATTTCAGTAGTGTTACCAGAGAACTTTTTCTGCTCAATTTTGTTAATTTTTAAATCATTGAAAAAATTTGTAGAACTTTTAAGGCTGAGATTTGAACCCCATCGCTGCATGCATGGTACATGTGTCAGTGTGTGTATGGGTTATATATAAATCAATGCATTTATGTGGTACACAAGCTTTGTTGCACGTAAGTGAATGTGGTTGTACACTTGCGTGGGAAACTTTGGTTCAGAAGTCTCACTTTTGCCACACTAGGCAGCTCACTTGCAATGCAACGTCACACATCTGTGGTTGAAATGTTTGTTTTATGTTTTTCTCTGCTCATGGTACCATGGAGTCTACCATAGGGCAATATGAGTTGTGACAAATTTGTTGACCTTCCTGTAATGATGCAGTGGGGGTTAAGTTTTTATTTGGCATTGAAGACAAATAGCAATAGGGCACCTAGGAATGGTTGTACAAATTTGAGAAGAAACCAAATGGTGAGGCTGAACACTGACACATATTTTTTTAACATTTTTTTTTACATTTCATTGAATGCCTCACAAATGTTAATAGCAACTCATCATTTGATGTGAAATATAGACGTGCCATCTTTCTCATTTCACATCTTTTTTAACAGATTTTCAAGTCGTAGTTACCCGCCAGCCGCTCAGACTTTGGTGTTAACCACTGTATGTGCGTATGGATGTGTTTGAATTGTGCTGATAAAAGTTTTTTGCATTTTAGGATATTTCTTGTAAATTCCCAGTATACTATTATAATAACTGGAGTTTGCCATTTTTTGTTTACCTCCCATGGTCATCAAATTGTCAACTGATGTCATCGTAGCGTATGAGTTTTTCCCAACTGAGACTGGGATAATATGCCGACTTCTACTCACTGATTTTTCAATACTCTTTTCTTTTTTTTTTTCTTTTTTCTTATCGCGTGCGTCTTGTGTTTCATCTTTTCTTAACAGAAATTAATTTTGATGAATATTTTGTGTGCCAACATTATTGCAGAAGCTAAGAATAAGATACATGAATGTCAGAGGTCTGTGGGTGTATTGTGGGCAGATGAACTTTCTCGATTCCATCTCACTATTGATTGATTTAAATTATTACTGCCTTTTTCTTAAATCATCATATTTCATTGAGGTAAAAAGCAGAAGTGTGCCAGAGGTCGGGAGGACGAATAGGAGTTTTCAACTGTAATCTATTCCATTCATAAAGCCATACAAGTTTTCAAACAGCTCTCTGCATGAGAGTTGAACTGATGTAATTTTTATCTGTAAAATGTCACCTATGTTCTACTTAAAGATTTTGTCTTTTATTGTCCCAAATTTAATTTGAAACGAAATAAATGATGAAAATTAATATTCCTTTCTTAGTGACGAGCAGACATATAAGCTCCCAGCAATTCACAGCTCTTGATTAGGCCCAAAAAAAAGTAATCAAAGGATCCGTTTTATGTATAGACAAATGCTATGTAATCAACTAAATAAGAGCTGGGCTGATCTGGTAGTGCATGTTTCAAAATCCAATTTTCAAATTGCAATAGAAACCTGACATGTAGTTTAAGTGCTGTATTATTATTATTTTTTTTTAAATAGCTGTTTTATAGAAAAATGTTATTAATTTTGTTGATGAATGTTGTAGCCGAGATGGTTTTAGCATTATGTTTTCACTGCATTAATCCCTATGCTTGTTTTTTTTAAAAAATTTTTTATTGATGTCATAGGAAATATTGAGATTACTATTTTAGCATGCTACATTCTTTGACTTCTCTATCACAGAATTCTTCTTGAAAATAACTGCACATGTTCTCTCCATTAGTTTAAGTTTATGGCATTAAAACACTGTACATTTTTAATCCATTATGTAATAAAATGCAAAAGCCTTCCCTGCAGTGTGCATGATCTTGAGTGCCCTCATCAGATATATTTTTTTTTGAAATGACAGGTTCATTGAATCATTATCCTTCAATTTAAATTTTTTCCTCTTAACCAAAAATCCACCTACTTATTTTGTCCCCTGAGCGTGAAAATGAAGATATCCCTAATTTATTTAATTTATGTTAACTTTATATCGCTCCTTTGTGCCATCTAGTTGCACAACGTTGGAGGGCAGAGGATAAGAGCATTGTTAGATTTAGATTTTTGTGTGTGAATCTGGAGAGGCATTGCATTCATTAAGCCAACATTCACTCTGAGGATTTGTTGCAGGCAAAAATCATGAAAACAATTTAAATTTCCCAATATACTTACTTGAATCTGGATCCTTACTCCAGACACATGTGCCTGACACGAATATTTCATCTGATAGTTCACACAGCGCTGGCACAAATATAGTTTCTGATGCAGAACTGTAGTTTCTAAGAGCCAGGGTGCTTAATGTTTTGGACCAAAGGTGTTGTCAGATTGCATCAGCAGTAAATGACTTAAAACTAGAGGTCATACAAGTACAAGACTTTAAAAATGAAACGTGGATCTTATTTTTTAATTCATTTATCAATAATTTTAAGCAATTTTAATAGAGCTGGACAACTTTTCAATAAATAATATTTTATTTTAGTCTGTGCATGAAGGATCTTCTCATGTCATGGAGCTCCTCAATCAACTTCATTTTGTCTTGTTGGGACTACTCCATTTATAAAAGCTGGAAATTAAATTGATATTAATACCCACCCTGCAAATTATCCGGTTAAAAATAAGGACTAAGGCATGCATGCTGATACTGGGGTGCAACAACTCATGCACACTCTTTGATGGGTTAGAAAATTGTTATAACCTTGAAAATGCCTCATTTAACCCAGTAGTTGTTCTCAGTGACTAGGAATGTGCCCCAGCAACTTGCCACTTGTGCCAAGTTGTTACCAGCACTGCGCATATCTAAGCAGCAAACACCTCAGTGTGAATGTAGCATTAGTTCATCTGCACCATGTTGATTTATTTTTCTACCAATGAAGGCAAAGTGCAGTAGAGTCCTGTCTTTACCTACAGTACAGGCTATGCTGTGTGAATCATCCCTATATAACTACTGCATACCGGTAATCAGACTGACTGCTTTAAAAATAATTTTGTTTTTCCAAAATTGCATGTGTGAGCATTTATGATAAAGAATATGTAAAAATGCATTAATTACATTAAAATGATGTTTGAATACAATAAATTTGATTCCTTTTGGTTATTTTATTCCATTAACCATTTGAATGGTGTGAATGTAGACTGTGACCACTAGGCTTAGAGCCTTCTTTTTATATGAGGTATCTTGAGCATAACGTATCAATTTTTAGACATTTTATGATATCCCTGAAAATATTTATCGTGTCAGCAACGCAAAAAAAAAAAATATATTTAAGAAGTTTCTGAAATCTTTAGCACACTAACATTTATTAAAATTAATTATTTTATTCAATAATTACAAAATAATTATTTTAAAATGTGTAACTCATCACTATAAGAGGTAGATGCTTGCAGTGAAGGGGTTTTGGTGTCTGCTCATTTAGCAGTTGGACTTGGCCTAGAAAATATACATGGTCAAGTCTTTGCTGCCTATTGAGGAAGTGGCAGGAGTCGACCAAGCTCGGGGCCCACAATCGCCATTTGTATACACCCAGTAGCAAATGTGCCCAGATCAATCCTCCACTTTGTCGATTTTGGGGATGTTAAAGAAGACATTTTGAATTTTTGTTTTGCTTTCCTGTGCTATTTCTCTTGGAGCCAAACAACTTGATGGGTCCTCTCCGTGTACTTCCGACAGGTCCTGGTGCGGTGCAACTTTTCAAGTCTTGTTTATTTTCCTTGTGCTCTGTCAGCAGTTTTTCTATTAATGCCTTGATGGCAGAGATAGAAAGATTTATGATGCATTAATTAATAAAATATCATGGGGTCAAATCATTGAGATATTTATTCTAACCTTTTAGTTTAAACATTTACAAAATTCTCTCAGTGATCAAGGCTAAATACAGGTAACTTCGCAATATGTCAATAGTTACAATTCTACAAATATAAAAAGTTATTTGTTGAAATAACTTCTCCCACCTTTTTTCTAAAGATAGCCATATGAAAGTGTAGACCAACCTGAAACACGTTGCTAACATTGATGTCAGCCCTGGCGCTTGTCTCAAAGAATGTACAGTTTCTCTCACTGGCTAACTTGGTGCCCTCTTCTCTTCTGACCTGTCTGTTAGATTCATCTCCATCTGCCTTGTTCCCAACAATCAACTGATGAATGTTCACTTAGAAAATAAACTTCAGTAAGCATAAAGTTTAGTTTTTTTTTCAATTGAGGCTAAGTGGAGAGTAGTCCACATATTAAAGTATTGAAGGACTGAAGACTTTTGTTATATAAATAAGCACATGATTGTGTGGGTAAAATACTACTGGGGGATATATGATAGTTTGTGTGAAAATGTTTGAAAGAAGTCTCTGGAAGATCTGTTCTTTGATGCCTTTCAATATCATTTAGGTGAATTTAACCCCCCTCCCCCCACACACACGCAAATTGACTCGCACTATAAGTTATACCAAGTCATACATACTAGCACTCTTTCTGGCACTGTGTGTTGTTCTATTTGATCCAACCAAGTGGGAATTTGATCGAAGGTTGCTTTTTTTGTTATGTCATACATAAGGATTACACCCTGGGCTCCACGGTAGTAGGAGTTGGTAATTGTACGGAACCGCTCCTGACCGGCTGTGTCCCAAACCTGCAGAAGTATGAGATTTTCAGTCATCAAACACGTTGTAGTTTTTTTGCTCCATCTTCCCTAAACCTACCACTCCTCAAAAAAAATATTTTAAGAAAAAATGTGATAAAAATTATTTAGGTTAGAAATTAAATTGCAGAATTTTATAAAGTGCCATTTATTTTCTTCTTTTGGTGAACTTTATTATGTCAAGATATTAAAATTAATGGTGGCCATATTTAGACTAAAGTCTGGAAGGATTTGTTGAGTAGGCTGGGTCTCTGCATTGCTCTGGTCATAAGTAATGGAAGGTAGTTGATTTATGTTGTAAAAAAAAAAAGAAGAAGAAAAAAAAAGGAACATTGATCACATGAAATTTTTTACCTGTAGTTTGACAACCTCACCATTCTCTGTCCGAAAAGTTTTAGTACAAAAGTCTACACCTATTGTAGGTAGATAGCTGTCACTAAATGTTTGATCAATGAATCTGAAATTTAAAAAAAAAACGACTCCATTTTTTAATCTTATTCTGTAACTGAAACTGTATTGGTTGAACAAGAAGTTAAAGTTTAAAGATACAAACAATCTTATATTTCTGTACCTCTGTTTACCTTTCCTTCTGTATACATTCATAGCCACCTCAAGAACTGAAGCACTTTATCAAAATCAAATTTAAATTCCTATTGAAGCGTACCTTTTTAGAAAACACGTTTTGCCGACGCTCTCGGTACCAACAATAATAATTTTAAACAAATATGAAACAGTCTCATTTGAAGATGTCCTTCCTTCCTTTAATTCACCACCCATTATTATTAATATATTTTTCCGTAAGTGGATATTGTTTGTGTATTCCCAATTTATTTTGTTTTCTAATCTTTAAACAATTTGCAACAACTTTTATTACAAAATACTATTGCGTCTGCTGTTGCCAAGAGAAAATAAACAAAAGAGAAATTACTCTTAATTTTTAATCTTCTTCCATAACCCGGAAACCTTTCTTCATTTCAAGGTTACTTCCTTTTTAAAAGTCGTCGTGGTTTGGAAAACACGAAAGTTTTACGTGTGAGAAATAATACTTTTAAAAGTTATAAACATTTATTTTAAAGAATAGAGCCAAACAGACTATTACAAAATAATCAACCACTGAATCTAATACACATCTTTTTAGTGACCATTTTGTTAATTTAGCAATAAACTTAAAGATAATTTAATTTTTAGGAACTACAAAAACACCGTAGAAGTAGAAGACTTAAATTTAAAAAAAAATAAAAAAAGAAATTTAAAAAATTAAATTGATACGACTCTAACTTACACTGTAACTGTAAGACAGAATTTATTTATTTTTTAATTATATTATAGTTGATTTTAACACTAGAGAAATAATGTCTTGTGTTTAATTTGTTAAAATTGTATTTAACCATTATAATTTAAATCTACAGAAAAAAAACTTTTGATGTTTTGATATTGAGACAACTTTAAACTTAAAAATTAGGATAGGCTGATCATTATAGTAAATTATACTAATTAAAAAGCCTTATAAATGATAAATTATGTTTCATCTGGGTCATGGGTAACTTTGCTTCTATTTCATTAAAAAAATTAAAATGGGATCACACCTTAAAAAGTTTAAGAACCTGCATACCTAATGCCTAATCTACTGAGCTTGATATTTAAGTATAGTATAATTAACAAGTTTTTACAGAATGTGGCAACAATAAACAATCTGACTGACTGAAATTTAAAATAACTATAACAAAAGTCATTGTCAACTTTAATAAACACCAAAAAGACGTTGTGGCATCTTCAACTAGTTTTGGCCTAAAAGTGAATTAAAGAACAGAGGCAGAGGAGCCATCAACTTTTTAACGTTATTGGCTATAATTTCTTTATATATATTCAGTGGCGTATCGAGGGGGGTGCGGACCGCACCGGGTGACACCTGATTGAAAAATTGCATATTTACAGGGCACACATTGTTCGCAAAAATCGAGATTCATAAAAGAATAACCGATCACACATATATTTTTCACAAATGTATCCCAAGAACTAAAACTAAGACCATCGGTGAACGCTCCTTCTGCTTCCATGGGCCCACGTTCTGGAACCAGCTCCCCTTCCATATACGTCATAGTGAAACCTCGTCCATTTTCAAAAAGTCCCTTAAAACATATGACCTGTGATGCACCCTCCTTGCCCTACCTCATTTTCTGTTTCGGGTTGATCCTGAAGTGTCAAAGTGTCCTCGTTTTATAGCCATTTTCATTGTTTCTATAGAATAGTAGTTACTATCCTAGTATCTCATTTGTATTTACTTAGTTTACATGATTTAATAATTGTAAAGCGCTTAGAGCTTTATGATAAGATAAGCGCTATATAAAAATGCCTAAATAAATAAATAACCAATCCAAATGCGTGCTTTATTAAAAGTTCAAGGTTGATGCTATACTGTGGACTTATTTTAACAAGAAAAAATCAATCATAGAAGTTGGGGGGGGGGTGACACCATGAGTTTACCGCACCTAGCTACGCCACTGTATATATTATATATATTTTTTTATTTCATCATTAACATTTCACTTTATATATGCCTATTACTATATAAGTCCCAAGTTTATTTTATAAGTTCTACGATTCTCTTTGAAATTCACAAAGTTAACAGCTAGAAGTCATTTTTTTTCTCAATTCTAAAGTGCATTATTATTTTTGTAGCAAGTGCCAAACTTAGCCAAACAAATTTTAAGGGGTGCAAAACTAGAAAAGAAGTTGCAGACCACAGATTATATATGTAGCCATAGCCTACTATAAAAAAAAAAAAGGAACAAAGTAAATCAAGCTGCTTTATTTTATGGTCAAAACCCGCTGACAATCATGGGCCCCAGCAGCATATCATATGCCAATTGTAGCCCCTGAAATGACTAAATTACTAGCTATTATTGAGAATAAATAATAAACCAACAACTAAAGACTAAACTACAAATTAATTTTGGAACTGTTTTTCAATATTAAGTCAAAGTAATTATGGAAGTCTGTTAGTTTTTAATGACGTTACCGATACTTATTATCCAGCCGAGTCTCTCAGCCAATATTGAAAGACTAAACCAGACTATCACCAGTTTAAATTTGACTAATAAATGACTAATGTATCTTTTCTTTACTTGGGCTAATGTTTTTTTCATAGGACAAATGTTTTAAGCTATTTTATCCTCATAATTATTTCAGATTTCACCAAACCTATCATCACTTAGCAATGGCAAATCCTCTGCTGTCTGAAAATGTGTGGCTTCATCAACAAAAGTTTCTAGATGCTGAGTCCCTATATCGACAACTTGAAGCTGGAACTGCATCAGTTGGAGAGGTAAGTGCAGTAGCCTACATTCCAAAATTATCCACAAAGACATGACACAAAAACTTTGATTTATACTTATGATAAAATTAAAACCTTATTCCTAATTGGTTTGACTTTATAAATCAGTTACTTGCTTATACTTATAGAGTATATAATAAGTATGTTTTTTTTTTCGCCATTCTTTATTTCAGAGGATTTTTCTCAAATTATCTGTACTGGGTTTCTTTCTCTCCAGAAATAGGATTTCTTCTTATGCATGTCTATTGAACAACTGGATCGTTACAAATAGTTCTTACTTGATCTATAAGTATTAATCCTTTTAATTAAAAGATTGTCATTAAAAGAAATGTAAAGTTTTTCAGGAACTCAATAAAGGAAACTATAAAAGAAAACCTTGTGTGGATTTTAGGGGCCATATCTTAATGCTGTCTTATTCTTTTTTTATTTTTAAAAGATGGCCCATAACATACTATGTAGGGGTGTGCCGGACCCCGGTCCGGAATCCGGTTCCGCCGGATTTTGCACTATCCGGTGAAATCCGGTTCCGCCGGATTTACATGTATCCGGAACAACCGGATTCCGGAATCCGGAATATACCGGATTTCGGAATTTGCCAGATTTTGTGACTCACCGGATCATAATCTGAAATAAAAGTAATTCTCTTTCCCGAATTCCACACGATCACGATACATTAATCGATTGTTTCGAGCGTTGAGCTTGTTTAATGTTTAATATTCCGTACATACCAGAGGCTAGAGTCAGCACCGCTAATAGTGGCCAATAGTGTAGGGACTTTGATAAGAAAATTTAAAC